TTGTCCTCCGAGGAAGTTGGTTTTGACCATTTTTGGCCGCGGTCGTGACACTGTGCTTCGTATTTTTTGTCGGTTTGTCGAAATAAAAAATTAACAAAACTAAGAAGAAGCATAACCATGATCGCTTGGCTATTAACATAACCAATGCTTCTTCTTATTACATGATATGTAGACAAGTTGCAGCAAATATGGAGACATGTCGCCTTAATAGTCGACAGAAGCGATACACCACCCCACATTTCCTTCGGGGCATATTCCGAAACACTTAACAACTGTCGGTATTGTTGTTGTTGACAAAATGTTGATTTGTTTTAAGCGCATGGTAGTCCAAACCGTGTTTGTTCTAAAGGCGAGGAGTCGAAATGTTGGACAAGTCACATCACAACACATGTATACAACCGCAACATGTATGAGCCTGATGTTACTTCAAGCAGTATAATTAATTAGAATTTTGAAGGCTAAACGTTTTTGAAACTTCTATAAGTGGATCCAATCGCCATCCCACTCACAACGATATTCCCTTAGACCTTCCTTGTGCGATGTTCGATTAGACAGCAAAGAAGTAATGGTTGCTGTGTATTAGTCGCATATTCCACCCTTATCATTACAATGCGACCGAACAAGGGATGAAATTGCTGTACGACCAACGACACGTTTGGTGTCCGTGTTTGACTGTTATTACAAATAGTATTGAAGTTGATGTCGTTGAGAGAGGTTCGTCTACACGATCGCCGCGTAGAGTTTCATAGACGTGAACGGAATTATATATTCGAAACATAAATGTCAGCAAACACAATATCGCTAATAATTAATTTAACGTCCATGAAAAACAATTGATAGAATCGAAGTGTTTGTTGTATATGCTAGTTTTCATTACCTGTGCAATATTTTTTTAAGAATAACTAATACTTAGTAAGGACAACGGAAGAGAGAGGTTGTTTTGTGTGAAACACATCAGTACCTGATTTGAAACCACTAGGATTAAGGAATTCCAAAGAAACACATACCACGTGTACTTGACAGAAAGCAACGAGAAAAACAAAGCAAATACCATCCTGGAATATTCGTGTCTAGTGGATTACCATTTAACCATCCGAAAATCAAAATCGCGGCACGTAGTGCAGTCACTGATCGACAGAAGCATGAAGTATATAAGCAACGGACACAAGGAGTCCTACACACTGGTGGCTCGAAGGAGATATATGAAGAAGTTGTTGTACGTATTGACTCTGTATAAAGTAGATGCATATGTGTGTCCGCACTGTAGTATATTCTATACATTTGGAACACTTATTGTAGTTCGAAATCATAAAGAAATTTCGTCGATCACTAATATTTTTACGTGTTTGTTTGTTGTCACTGTTACAGTCAAACGTCCGAGACCTGAAATTTGTTTACCGTCAATTCTTATATAAAGAAACTGCTATAGAATTACTGCAATTCCCAGACGAGAATTCAAAAAAATTAACCGATTCCTCGTCCAAACAGCAATGAAATATTTTTACATTCGTGTTTTCGTCACGACCATGTTTCCTCAGCATGTGAATTAGTCTCAAACTTCGGTGAAGTTCAATATAATCGTGTTGGACTGTTCGACAATCGAAAACATTCTGTGTATGTGCCTGTGAGTGACAGCAACACAGATTAAGACGACGACCAATCCAAATATACATCAAGTTCCTATATAAGTCCGTAACCACATTGTGATAATATGTTAGCGGATGGCGGTAGGAGAGGAGCTCCAACTTACCGTCGAAAGCATAGCGGGCGTAATTGCGACACCAACAAATACTTGTTTCAATATTAGCGTGACACTGTACAACAATAAACATTTCAAGTTTATGCCTGTTAGGACATTAATTTTTTTCAACTTCGTGCGAATTTGCTATCGTAGGGGTTAGAATTTGTTCATCGCGATAGAATGGAATTTGTTTTTTTTTATTCGTCGACGTGCTGCTACAAGTGAAATGTGGTGTTGATCATCATCACGGGTTGAATTTGATCATTTGCGTCCACCAACTATCCTTCGACAAAAACGGCGGTCATGGCACAAATGTAACAGCTGCACCGTTAAATACTGCAAAGTAAACCCATTTCTGGCACTTTTTTTGTTTAAATCCATTAATTTTTAATGAAAGTTCAGCGGAAAATGGTGAACGAAAATTGTAAAATTTCTCTTGAAAGTTGTGTGCAACGGAATTATTTCAACACCCTTTTCCGGCGTCTTAAAGGAGGTGAGTTGTGCACGGGCATTTCCTAGGTCACTTGTGACGGCCGTACATCAATGCAATCTACCCCTGTAACTGACTAGCACTTTCTTTACACAAGTAAACATAGTTTTTGGTAATTCCTCCTTCCTTCTAACGACAATTTCTAATTTTACTATGTTTCTTCAACGGTGTGCGCTCCGAACATTTATTATTCACTTCGAAACTTGAATATCATCTTTGAGTCGCGGAAGCGGTGGTCTTAAGAATTTGTAAATGTGGTTCCACCCCATTTCCGCTATTAAGACGACGAGGGGTGGCGAGGTGTGCATTGTCTGCATCGCAGCGACGAATCCTTCAGCATTTTTTTTAATTTGCGGACATTTAACGGTTGCTCGTTTGATTCGTCATTCCATTGGGCATCGGATTTTCTCACAGTCCTCCATGTCTGCGGAAACAATGCGATCAATACACTCAAATAATGTTGTCTGTTAAAAGTCAATTGTACCGAGCAGGGGCATTAATAGACCATTCAGCGAATTCGTATTCCCTTTTCTAGCAGTACTACCGTCGCCGGAAATGTCTCGGCTTTATCAGCGCCTGACTCTTTCTTAGACTGGATTTAAAAATAATGAATTTTTGCCTTTTTCGCCGTTATCTGCTAAACTTGATCGGGTTGAGCGAACGCAGAACAATGTCTCTCTGCAGGACATTGCCTTCCTCGTATTTGTTGTTGCACTATGTATTGTTGTCCTTTATGTTTCGTTCTATTGTTGACTCGCACACATAAACAGACACAATTGAATGGAACTACTCTGGATTTATTTCGTAATTCGTGTGGAGTGTTACAATTTGTATTTCCTTCGAAGTGTGTGTTTGAGTGTGTTGCAACCCATTATTATGTTCTTTTTCCGAAGTGCTCAAGTCATGGGAATTTCCAAAAAACAACAATCCATGGGGAAATGGGTGTGTGTGTGTCATACAGTTGCCGGTGAAATACGTTGACGGCGCAGCCGTTAATGCACTGCTTATCACATACATACGTATCACTGTATCAAATGCATCTCTGTTCCCAATGGAATAGACTTTATCGTTCGTATGCTCCCACTGCAGTCGCCTGAAATCATTTCCTTTTCAAAATAACGCCCCATTGTTATTAAAATTTCTAGGTTCGGAAAATATGTGTGGCCGTAGTTTCAACGGCACATCAGATCTTTGGGCCGATAAATCACTAATGTATCTTCATATAACGGGAACGGTGTTTTCCACTGACATTCAGAATTTAATTTATCTTCGCTTATTGCGTGCGACTACTTTGTAGACGGCATGGAAACGAAAAGTACCCAGTTGTGTTCTTTTGAATTTGTCCATGTGAAGTTCATGCTTTGTGCGACATTATTTTCATTCTTGCCGTACCTCAGCAATGTGCTTGCCTTATGTTTAGCACCAGCCAATTGAATGAATAAATTAGCATTCTAGACTCAAACAGTAGATTGAGTTTGTGTGGGTGAACTACTGCCGCTTAACTGAATGTGGATTGTGCCATATATAGTGTAAAACAGTCGCGACTTTATGGGTAATTACCCCATGTTTTTTTTTTTTTTTTTGTTACGGAAGTAGTCGGCTTTAGTTCTTCTAAGCCATTATGACTGCGAACAAAGATGGGTCAATTTCAATATTCTCCCAGGCCTAGAAACATTGATAGTCTCTAAATCAGGGATCCTTAAAAAATTCTCCAAAAATAAAAGTGAGTGAGTAAGTAATAATCCATCATACAATACGGGTAAGAAAATGGAGAACACTGGAGAAGAGTGTTGCATTAGCAACATTATTCTAAATTTTAGCTTTTTTGGTCGAACCCGTCGAACAATGTTGACGGGAGGCGTGCATGTTGGAACGGCAACACCACTACTACTTCCACCACAAAAACAATCCAATATGTTACAGCATGTTCATGGTGTCAGTCCTTCGCGAGGATTCCCTTCAGTTGTAACACAACTGTGCCAAGGTGTTAATTTATTAGTAGTATCCGCCTAAGTGGCTGGAGTAGAGAAACGAGAAAGACAAATGGTAAACGTGAGTAGCTGAAAGAGCTGTGATATTAAAAGTGGTGTGTTGACGTAATATGGCGTGGGTGCTCTCACTAAGAGGCAGCTGTTTTCCGCTGATCGATCTGGAAATGTCAGGGGGGCACTCTCACTGTCATCACAATACGTAGTGAAATGTGTCCTTTCACGGCTATGATTTGTGTGTCAACATTGCATTACACTGGATGGAAGCGTAAGATTTCATTATTCAACAAAAAACTATTTGTTTGGGACTTCCTGTTCCTTTTTACGTTGACGGTGCAATGAAAGACAATACACATTTTTTGTTAAAACATATACATGTGTATGTATATGTGTATCAAACTTATGTTTGCATAAATTTTGACGAAATTTCATTCTTTGAGTTTTGCTTGGTGCGATTTCGAACTAGCATTCCACACAGCCCAAGAAAAGTGGAACAAATAAACAAAGGTATTCACCACGTTTATTCCATTAATACAAAATCAAAAGTCACTTGAAAATATGTCCCTCGAACATTATGAGTGAAAGGTATATTGTTACGGCTTTTTGGCATTTATTGGTTTTTGAGAACTCCGTTGCTGGTTTCTTCTCGTCACTTTACTTTAGTGAATTATTCGTGATCTGCGGGAAACATATTTATTAATATGACGCTACCCGCTTGCTGTAACTTTTTATTGTGACTTATTCTGAGTTTCTATATTTTTATATTTCTATATTTTTTCAGACGACAACATGCCTTCGTAGCAAATGGTGTACAAAAGTTCAACGGTGGCGGCAGTTTGAACCATAGCCCGGAAAGATTTCGTGGCGCCACACAAGATCTCTTTGAATTGTTGGAAAGAGTTCAATGTTCCCGCTTAGAAGACCAAAGATGTGAGCTTCCAGCCTACTTTTCCCAGGTATGTAAAAAATGACATTGAGATATTCTTATGGCGTTCTGAGATGTTAGATTTGTTTGGTTATTTGGAGTTTAAAAACCTGAAAACTCAGCCGACGTATATTTAAATTGTAGTGGCAACTCCAACTGGATGCAATGTTTCTGTCCGTGGTATGGCATTCTATGGCAATTCAACCCAAATTTAACATAGTAAAGCCACCAACCTATCTTTGCACCCTCAAATTAGAAATGTGTTGTTGTCCGTACTACGTTATTAAGTGGTGGTGGATTATACCCGTTTCCCTCTATCTAATACTCCAACCCGCTATAGTATTGCCAACTACGTAAAATATATGTCATGGGACATTTAATAGTCAATGTTTATCGATAGATGACGGTGTGGTAAAATCTATTATTGCAGTAAAAATGCCACATAGAATTATTTATTATTATCAATTAAAATATTATATTTTTTCGAAATCCAAATGACACATAATGATGAAATTTATGAAATTTTGACCCAATTTAACACAACTAACCGACTAAAGATATTTCAAACAAACAGTTTAATTTTATTGTTTACGTTTGTCTTTGGACTTTGTCTTTGGTTTATTCCTTTATGTCTTTGCTGTGGAAATACTCTGAATGTATTCACCTTTATTCGTTGCACCAACCATCAAAGTAACGAACCCTGCATTACAATTGTGAATAACAATCAATAGATGGCGGCACCGTTAACTGTTATACTGTTATAAAACTGTTATACTATTAATTTTCATCAAAATTTTTTCCAAAATTAATGATTTTTGATTATTTTTTTGATTTTGTTGTTTGATTTCCGCGAAAATTGGATGGAAAAACAAAAAAACAATGTTTTTTGTTCACGGATAAAAAAATTTTCCGCGAAAATTTTTATTATCCGTAATTAGAGTCAATACACCAACCTTATCCAACATTTATCCGTCCGTAATTATAGTCAAGACACCAACCAACCTTATCCAACATTTTCGATAAAATTAAATCGTATATCGTATATCGATCGACGATATTATTACGATATTATCTATCTATCGTATTTTTTGATTATTATTTTTTTTATTATTTTTTCTTATTATTTTTTTCTCTTTCTCTCTCTGACATGCCGTAGAATTTTGACGAAATAAAGCTATTGGCGAGACAAATATCTACCGTGGCTTTGATGTGTACAATTCCCTCACAAAGTTGAGCATTGTTTTGATTGGAAATATTTTGAAATGAAATTATACGCATTTCAAAATTTGTTTACTTCAAATTAAATACAAAGAAAGGGAGCCAGTTTGTAAGATTGGCAATTGTGAAAGAAAATTATGTGGACATTTTTTAATTAAAAAATTATTTCTCCACTCGATTTCACTCTTAGAGCGAACTCTTACTCTATTTCGAGCATTTTCACTCTCAGGAATGCATGCAAGAATTTTCCATTTGAAAACATGGAAACCCATGATTTAATGAAACCATATGAAATTTCAAAATTTTCTTCTCAACAAAGTTTAGATTTTTTGTCGGGACTAATAAGTAATAGTCAGAAATATGTAATAATAAAAAATATATATTATACTTTCGAATCTGTTGATTAGCATTCGAGAAAATAATAGTGGAACTAATTTTAGAAAAATTAAACATTTTGACAACTTAGCAAGATATTTAGCGAACATTTTTCGATTTCAATGTTGTGGAACTAATTTTAGAAAAATTAAACATTTTGACAACTTAGCAAGATATTTAGCGAACAAAATGCGAACATTTTTCGATTTCAATGTTGCCTATTGAAATTTTATAAATTATATGAGAGACATTAAAATCGATATAATTTTATTTTTCGACCAAAGACAATGTTTAATAATTGCTAATGTACAATTAGTTTTTAGTATTATTACAGTTTTTGAGTATGATTTTAAAATTTTAAATTAAATGAGAAAAGACAAAATAAAATTATAAATTTTCACTTTTCTCGATTTCGGCGTTGGCAACACCTTAGCATGAAAACAACCCTGGTCGGCAACGAAAAACGTGTTAAGCACAGATACTACGAACTAATCAAGTTGGTCGCATGACAATTTAGTCATAATGCCAATATTTTTTAGCAGTAGCTGTGTATGTTGTTGTTGTTGTTATTGTTGACCTGTGATATGTTAATTCTTGTGGATTTTTGCTTTGGCTCTAGGTCAATTGAAAAACTCGTTGGTTATGTTTTTCTTTTTTGTTTATTTTTATTTTTCAATATTTCGACTGTCTTCGGCAGTCATCTTCAGGGAAATACTACAAAACAAACAAATATTTTAAAGATATAGACTTAATTGTATTGCACAGATCTTACTTTTATGAGAAAAGCAACCGATTTTCATCACCATCTATGCTAAACTAAGTTTTTCTTTTTTCTCGTCTGTGCTTATGAACTATGTTTCTATAAATATGTGCACAGTGGTCCGCGTCAGTCTTATAATTCAATCTTCTATCGTTAGGCACATTAATTATGTTTAACATTTCTAATGTGAATCGTCGTTTATAATTATTTTCTTGTGTCAATATGTCCACGTCTTTAAAATTCGGTGTATGTCCAGTTTTTGTGCAATGTGCAGCAAGCGCCGTTTTTTGCTCTAAAGGTTTGTCTGTATTTTGATCTGACTTATGTTTGGAAAGTCTAGTCTTAAGTTTAGTTTTTGTTGTACCAACATATACCTTTTGGCATACGTTGGATTTGTCCCAATTACATTTTATCTTATACACTACATTGCATTTGTCTTCCTTTTTAATTTTTGATTTTGTTTTGCTGAACAGGATATTGACGGTATTCTTTGATTTAAAGGCTAATTGATAATTGTTCTTGTCATATATATATTGGAATTACGCAATCTCTCTGACAGTCCAGGTATATAAGTCAATGTTTTGTATGATTTTTCCTCTTCTTTCTTCTATTTGTTCTTGTGATTGGATGTTTTTAGTAAATCGTCAATAGTTCTCTGTGGGAAATCATTTTTCCTCAGTATATTACGTATCCTTTCTTTGTTCTTTTGGTGGAATTGTTCGTCGCTAATATCAAGTACTCTGTTGATGAAGTTTGTGGCCGTATTTATTTTTATTCGTCTAGGGTGCTTAGAGTAAAATTAAAGATATAAATATTGACGAAGACGAAGTTCTAGAGTAACTTCTGGTAATGTGGACCATGCGTCAAATGTGGACCACCCACCATATCTAAGAAAATGCTTGAAATATGCCAATGCCGCCTTGATAAATGTTTTCCTAATTAGTGAAAACAAACATCAAACTTGGTTTTTAATAAATAATTGCAATGATAAAAATTTAGTAGGTGAAAATGTAGCTCTGATTGTAAAGTGTGATTTGAAAATTTTTTAACACAATAGTCGAACGATTTTGTAAAATAGTCGAACATTTTGTTTTTCTCGAATATAAAGAAGTTATGTGGTTTTCTTGTTTTCTTTAACAAAAATACACGTTTATCTGTAATTACTTTCGGTTATTTTTAAATTTTTATTCATTTTTGAAGCCGATAATTATTTTTAAATAAAAATATTCAATGTCGGGTAATGTGGACCACTATAAAAAAGTGGGACATTTTCATGAGGACGAGTTCGAAACAAGGGCGCATTTAAAAAGCGAGGAGGTATTCTATCCTCTGAAAACTCGATATCCGAAATTATAGGTGCCTCGGTTGAATAATGAAGCAAGGACCTTCAAAATGCCGCAAATGGGGTGGTACCCTTAAATGGGGGCTATTCCAAAACATGGACCCATATATTTTTGCATTCATTGTTACCCAAGTGCAATAAATTGATATTTATCACAATTAATCCACAACCTACCTTTAACTTACTGATCCTCATTACCAACACATACTGGTCCATATTACCCGCCAAGTTATTTTTATTTGCAGTTTAGAGTTTTTTGAAATATAATGCAATAACATTTTTATGGACAAATATATATAATTTTTGACCTGGAATATAATTAGCCAACAAATCTACCATGCTGTGAAAACAATTTGTTTTTATTTTTTACCGTTGTTACGCCCACAATATCAAAAAAGGAAAATGGTGGTCCACATTACCCGAAGTTACTCTACTATCATTTGACGTTATCTCGCTATTTCCTAGTATACCTATAAATTTAGCATTGAGGACAATCACGGAAAAATGGGACATAATTAAGGAATACACAAAAATACCACAGGACCTCTTCATCGAAATATTGACTCTTTGTATAAAAGACTCACGATATTTCATATATGAGGACAAGGTGTACGAACAGCGAAAAGGACTTCCAATGGGCTCTCCAGCGTCACCGATTATTGCAGATATAGTAATGGAGGAGTTATTGGACGCTTCAATGGAGAAATTGACAAATAAACCAAAATTAGTTACGAAATATGTAGACGATATACTTTGCATAGTGAAAAGAACAGAGATCGAGAATACATTAAATATCCTGAACTCCTTTGACATGTGCAATTTACGCACGAATTGGAAGAAAACGAAAAATTACCTTATCTTGACGCAATAATAATCCGACAGGGCCAAACACTAACAATAGATTGGTACCAAAAGCCCCCCGCATCTGGACTATTAATAAACTTTTACTCTAAGCACCCTAGACGAATAAAAATAAATACGGCCACAAACTTCATCAACAGAGTACTTGATATTAGCGACGAACAATTCCACCAAAAGAACAAAGAAAGGATACGTAATATACTGAGGAAAAATGATTTCCCACAGAGAACTATTGACGATTTACTAAAAACATCCAATCACAAGAACAAAAAGAAGAAAGAAGAGGAAAAATCATACAAAACATTGACTTATATACCTGGACTGTCAGAGAGATTGCGTAATTCCAATATATATGAGAAGAACAATTATCAATTAGCCTTGAAATCAAAGAATACCGTCAATAGCCTGTTCAGCAAAACAAAATCAAAAATTAAAAAGGAAGACAAATGCAATGTAGTGTATAAGATAAAATGTA